CACACACACACACACACACACACACACACACACAAACTTGCCTCAGTGTGTACAGCAGAGAGACAGAGAATATACGAGCCGGCTGTCGCTCAGAGCGGGGTCTCTCCCTCCTCATCCTGACTCCTGAGATCCTGGCCTCATCAATCCATGGGACTCCAGATCTGGTCTCCAAGCGAACCCGTCCTGTCCTCCATGGCCTGCCTCGATGTGGAGAGCCCCTCCATTTGTAGGGGGAAATTCAAATCAGGTGCTTTTTCTTTCTTCGCGTAACCAACTCTTACTTGATTGTGTTTGTATTTCTGTTTGTCTTACATGAAACATGTGTTTTAACACTTTTGACTGACAGTTGTGGCACCAGTTCAGACACCCTGAACTTCTTTTGTAGAAAAGGTTGAAGTTATACACATTTGTTTGAATTTCCAGTGTTTACTTCACTTTTCCCTGAAACGGTTTTGCATTTCTGTTTTGTGAGATACTGATGACTTGACTTTAGTCACTTAGTCAAATGAAGCTGAACAGTCAGGAGTGTCACAGATCAAGATTCTGATCATTGTTTGCATATTTCAAATCTTCCTCATTTGCATTCATAAGGTGCAATATTACCTTGCCTAGAACAGTCATAAAACCTAATTAAGTAAAGTTATTGCAGGTTTTTAGATYGCATGTCGTATTTTTGTGCCTTTATGATCCTAATTATTAACAACAATCAACAACAAAGTAATTAGAAGCTGAGCTGCATTACATATAGTGAAAACGATGGGTTAAAGTGTTGTTAGAAACTGAATAAAACTCAAGCAATACATAAAACGTAAAACACCAAAAGTCTTTCACTGGGGTCTGAATTTGCACGTTAAAACGTTCGATTCATTGTCAGTAAATGTATTATGTAGTCTACATTGTTTTGACGCCGACCAAGTTGTCACACAAGTTTGAAGGACACGCCCACTCACTTCAAAAGAACTGTGTTTTTTTTTCTCATGGTTATGAATGTGACTCGAGTTCAGGTCGTTTTTTGTTTTTCAGGCAACGCAGACAATAACACTTCAGAGTTCCGCTTCTGTCTCGGGGTTTTGAACGACACCGCTTTATTTCGAAGCTCAAAAGCGCAAACAAAACGTCGAGCAAGATGTTTTCTCACACTCAAAACAAATTATTTTTTTATTTAAATCGCTCTGCAGTCTTAGAATAACACGAGCCATGTTGTGTTTTCGTTTAGTATCAGCTGGATCGTACAGTTATTTGTTTACTCATCCATCATGACTGGTAACCAATTAAAGGCCAAGAATTCCCCAACGGCAGTTTTTGACTAAAATCATCTTGTGTTGAGCTGTAGCCGTGTTAGTCAAACCTTGAAAATAAGGTGATCTCATGGAACTGCAAGATTTCATGCTGAAAGTATGYCATGAATGACTTTCACCCACTAAGACAGAAAATCTGAGTCTAATATCTGTAAATGTCACTAAATTATGGCCATTTTTGTGCTTTCTAAGGCCAGCTGGCTGTGACGACTCCAACATATGAGTTAATATATCCAATGATAATGAATGAATTAATTAATTTCAGTAAGTTTTATTAAAACTTATCAAGAGATTAATCATATATTTTTGTTAGAGAACATCATCACCACTTTGGCTGCAAGTGAAAATAACATATCTGTATGTTTTAATTTAATAAGAAACTAAGCTCTTATTTATATATTCACCTTTAACACAACCCGACTGTGACGTTGCTTTCATATTACTTCATAATAAAAGAATATTTTAAGATAGCTCAAGATAACACGAGCTCTTTGATAAGTCAGTGTTATCTGTATACAAAGCAATTTTATCTGTTTGTGAGTATAAGTGCTGCTCAAATATTTAGTTTATGATATTTATAAAACCTTGTGTCCGTCTGTTTTTAAACCAACTCCTGCTTTGCCTGTCCAACGTTAGTTCCGTGCTTTTTTAAAGTCAAAATAAAAGGACTGGTGTAACTGACGTGGAGACCTCCAGGGATGATTTGTTGAGAGCAACACAAGTCTGAGATTAGAGATTACATCAGCAGACAAGGATTTGAGCGGAGCCCCCTTTCTTTCTGTCTCCCCTGTAACCTTTTGTTTATTCTTTACTGGTGAGAGGGAGCCAGTTTGCATCACAGGAAGGTCAGCCAGGGTTCAAGCTCAACACAAGAGGACACGTTGAGGAGGACCCTGAGGATGAGCTGTCCCCCCACCGTGGTGCTCAGATTAAAGCCTGCATTCTCTCCTGCTGCTGGAAGGCAGCTTTTCAGGTTATTGATATGCAGCATGCACTCATAAATTGAGCTTCTCTTCCAAATCACAGTGGATATAAATATTAAAATAAACCAAAGGCCTTATTTTTCCTCCAGCGTTCTGGTTATGATGAGTGTTTAGCTGAATGCGTCCCCCCCATGGCCCCCAGGTTTCTAATAGGAAACACAGCAGGCAKAGAAGGCACACCAAGTTCTCTGCTCTGGTCCTGGTGTGCTGCTGAGGGTGGACTCGGAGGGGGCCTTCCACCCGTCGCCTCAGCCGAAGCCCCTGCATCCCCTCGGCCCTACATCGAAAACTCCGACCATCCCGCCCCCTTAACTACCCCCCGAAATTTCATGGTTCCCAGGCCTTGTTCTCACAGCTGCCCGGTTTATTTTTGCTCGAGTGAGTCACAGAGGCCTGTTCGGACCCCGCGTCTCTCCCAGGAGAGTTGAGCACGTCTGTGTTGTGTGTTTTTCTGTTTCTCCCAAGCCGCTAAGAAAATCGAGCTAAGCTGGCTTCACTTCACCAGCGGTGACGTTAGAGGTCTCAACACTGCTGCCTCATTTGTCTTCTCCAACCTTTTTTTTTTTCTTTCCCTGCATGGGACTGTGTTATTCTGTAGAGGAGGAAAGAAAACATGCCCGTGTTCTGTTGTTTATAAATGTTTAAACTAGCATCTTACTACAGTTTACATTTTTGGGAGAATAACTTTAAGTAAAGCTTAGATACAAGAATCAAGTTTTTTTTTTTTTCTGGAGGAAAATCAATTCTTTCATGTTTCTCACGAGCGGCGCTGATCATTGCTCAGCCATCCGTAGCGAGATTATGTTTTGAAAACAGTTTATGATAGACATGGCTGAATTGCCCAACACCAGATTTGCTCACTTTCGAATGTTTGCTTCATTCTTTAAACGTACGTTATATTTGATTTGCTATTACCTCCCGTTAAGAAGGCTCTCAGCCAGTCACGCTATTTGAGGTGAACTGTGATACTCCTGACAGCCTTGGTTCAAACCACAGGAAGTGAATAGAATATCTGTGGTGGAGAGCAAGGTTTAGGTCTTCAGGGTCACGCATTGATTGAGAATAATGACCCGTTTTTTTTTATTTGATGTATTGTAGGTTTCACAGTTGAAAGCCACAAATGGTTGTGAGACCTCTGGACAGTGTTGGCTCTGAAAGTTAAATGTTTTATTCTAACCTTTGCTGTTGGGGGGGTGGTTGCAGTCCTTCAGCACTGTCTGCAGCAAAGGAGGAGTCGGGAGCAGCTCGTGGAGCAAGGCATCTTGCCTCGTGAGTATCTAAAAATGTCAAGTTTAATGTGTTTTAATGTGTTTCATGCTTCTGTGTGTGGTAGCATTAGCAAAATACCTCATGGACCACTGGTCAGATTTTAATGAAAGGCTTAGAAAATCATCACGGTTTTGAGTGATTTTTACAGTCAGCTCTTTTCAATATGGCTGCCACAACCTTAGCAAACACAAATTTCAGCTAATCTTACAGATGGAGCATACATTTTATGCTTTAGCTTAGAGTCGATTCAAACACATACTCTGAGCTATATTTCTTAGCCTAATACTTTAACGTTCCGGTGACGTCGTTTCTTTTTTTTTTTTTTTTTGTGATAAATATGAATGCAATCTTGGAAAGTTGATAACATTGATAATATATATATATTTTAAATCACATAGCTGAGATGAAAAATTGTTGAGATATTTGCAGGTGAAGTAACAGGAAATGATGTCAAATGGGAAAGTCTGCATGAACAGAGTTTTCCTACAAAGACCAACAACACAGACTGTATAGAAGAATCTGATGTATCTCTGGGTTATTRTGAATCACTGTCAGAGAGAGATGAGTCTAAAAATACTATTTTACTGTTGTGGGCACAGCTAACCAAAAGGTTAGCTTCACTAACCTCTAATCTTAGTTCCGCTAATACAAAACTGSTAAACAAATTGAAAATTATAGTAAGCTAATGCTAATGCTAATTGATAATTGATAAGCACCAACTGTCACTCAGTCCATGTCACACATCTTCATCTCCTCCCAGCTGAAGACTGGTGGAACACAAACCTGTTGTCAGTTTTCTATTGGTTTAATTTGAAGGTTGGTGGGATCATTAGTGGAAAATCAGCCAATCCAAACTAGAGTTAAAACCCAGTCTAACTTGTGATACTTCCAGTTTCACCCTTTCTTTTTTTTTTGATTGAATTTGTATTTGTGTTAATACCATTTGAAGTTAGTCAAATAACAAATAGCAAATATCCAAATCATTTTTTATAGTTGTTTTTTGTGTTTGTTTTTTTAAAGAATGTAAAATGTCCTTTTCTTTCTTAGTTTAAGGTTAGCTGCTAAATATGCTACATGTTACTGTGACAGGTCCACTGCTTGTAAGAGTGGATATCTTTTATTTAATTCGGGATAAYAGGCATAAAAATAAAAGTTTTACACTTGTGAAAATTTTAGCAGATTTAAGATTAGCGAAACCTAATTTAGCAGGGRGCTAATCGGTTCGCTAAGGGCTTCCAAAGTTAAGAAAACTGCTAAACCTCTAATTAAGACATTTGTTCTGTAATTAGAGACTTTGCTGAGCTGTGTTCACCACTGTTGTTTTAATGAACAAAGAAAATCAAGTTCCTTTTCTTTGAGTTCCCCTTTGATGTCACTTAGGAAATATGCCAGTTATGTGACAAAATGGATACAAACATGTGCACTATGTCAAGTTTCTAAATTATAAACATGTTGTCTTTGACTTTTTTTGTATTTGAAGGATGTCACAGACCCTTTAAAACTCTGGCATGGATATTGAGTGGTGGGTGAYATGCATTCCTTCAAGGATCACTAGGTCCARGGGTGGGCAGTCCTGGTCCTGGAGGGYTGCAGATATGCATGTTTTACTTTTTTCCCTGCTCCAATGCGTGATTCAGTCACTGAATTACCTTTTCCAAGTTCTGCAGAAGTCTGTTAATCACCCATTTGTTTAAATCAGGTGGGTTGGAAGGGAGAAACAAGTAAAACATGGAGGGCTGCGGCCCTTGTGGACCAGGATTGCMCACCCCCTGCATTAGGCCACTGCTGGTTCTCTTTAGATTTACGTTCTAAATGCAACTTCACCAAAGGCTTTAACTTGTAAGTGCGTACACATGCATTTATTTGCACATTTTACTACATTACCTCAGAACTGTATCAGTGACTTAAAGTCTACAGTATATTTGCACCTTCAGTACATTGAGTGCGTCTGATAAGAGCTGTATCTTTATACTCACAGTGATAAATGACTCGCCAGGCCTGAAAGGACCAGCTCTTCTGTAATAGCATCCTTTGATGTGACGAAAAGGGAGTGTAGTCTCTCTGCTTCCTTAGTTGGGTGAAGATTTTGTTTAAGAGCACGCCAATAAAYGACAAGCTGAAACTGTGACAAAATCCTGCTGATATTTGGAAAGCAGATAGTAAAAAGACATAGAGTACCTCCTCCTCATTTACTCTGCTGTCCTGGAAAACATCCTGCAGGCTTGTTTTTGTCTCCTCGCTGGCTCCACAAAGCCACATGACTCAGAGACTGGGCCTTCACTAAAGGTCATTTGCATCTTTTGCGACTTGGCCCATGCGGAGCGTTCGCAGTTCTCTCTTGATATTTTCCACTACGGTACTTTCTTGCACCTAAATTTAGAACTTTTTTTGTTTCCAAGGTATGCAAGTTAAAGCAATAAGAAGGAATGTTTTGGAATGTTTTGCTTTGTAACCCCCACACCACCACTCCTCCGAGCTCCTCTGTGTCTGTGTCTCATTAAACTAAACAGCCACGGTCGTATCAAGAGGTGACTAGTCTTTGACCCAGACCTCACCTAAAAGCAGGATGAGTTGTTTTTTTGGTGATCAAAGAGTAACTCAGCACAGGACAATCTCGTTTGAGTCAGTGAAGCTGACACTTCCTGTTGGACTCCCGTAAGCCTCTGCTTTTTCAAGCAGACCAGCAAAAACAAAAATACGCATAGCATAGCATGAMAAATGAATTGATTTATATCGTTTCTTGTTTACACTAGCAATATGGTACATGAACTAATGATTTATAAGGAACTATTCATATTTTCCTGTTCCTACTTCAAGCCAGTAAAACTTTAAGCTTGAAAAAGAAACATCAAACTGCCTGTTAGTTATAGTCAAGTCTTATTGTTTAAAGCRTAAAACTAGAAAAATGTTAGAGCTACATGTTTTTACAGCTTCTCTGTGRCTTTGTTTATGAATTAAAGGTCTATCTTTTGTTGAACAAGTATACAGATTTGTGGTTGTGGGCATTTCATGCTCAATTTCGTGCAAATTTGCAGGAAGTTAGCTGAGAGTTTGAGCCTGTARAAGTTAATGAGTTGTAAATGTATATCCAATAATCAAATGAATGTTTAATGTGGGCTGTGAGATATTTTGGTAACAAACACACAGRCAAGGACAAAATCAGGAGCAGTGGCGGGGATTAAAATAGCAAATGTGCCTTAAACTATAAAATGAAATGATATCTGACAGCAAATGTTGAAATAAATTATGACTAAACTCTTTAATGATTTATCTTTCCTCAGCTCTGAAAACTCCCACCGCTTTCCATAAGCAGATCCGGAGTCTAGAGAGAGCCAGGGTGAGACCCTCGACCTGTTTTTAACCCTTGTCTGATTGTGAATTTGTTTAGCCAACCTTAAATGATTTTAATTTTTTCCTATTTTTCTATTGTTTTGAACAGACTGGAACATTTTTAAAACACAAACTCTGCAGCCGACCAGAACGTTCCGAGCTGGTCCGTATGCATATTCTTAAAGGTAATCCTCCTGCGTGCTCTCACTCTTTGATAATCTACATGCGCAGGCTGAGTGTGAGTCTATTCGTCTGTCTGCACGGATTTCCGTCTGTTCAGCCATCTTCTAATCATAAAAATGAMTTTCTGAGCTCCTGTGAGTCACAGTGATGTATCAGCAGGGAGTCTGTCTGAGGGTGGTCAAAAAACTGAGCATTAGTGTGTGTGTGTGTGTGTGTGTGTGTGTGTGTGTGTG